GGATATCCATAAAGGATTTCCACACGTAAAAAAAAGCTACTTTTGCATCAGACACCCTGTATATATATGTAGGTACATATGTACATATACATATTATCTCTGGTGAAAAAACAATTGGATTGTATAATATACTTGCATCACGAAAAGGAGAGCGAGCGAGAGAGAGAGAGAGAGAGAGAGAGAGAATATACTGACTGGAAATCAGTATACAAAATTCACACTATTATAATTATTTGACTCTCAGAATCCAAGTTCGACCGGCATTGACCGTTTGCAATCTTATTCAATATTCACTCACTCACTCACACATCGTGTAATGAGTGCGAAACCGCCTCATTGCAACACAGGTGTAACGCACGCAGCAGAGTTTCAAATAACTGCCGCATGCGAAGAAGGAAGTAGACGATGGAACATTAACTCATCGGAACCGAGTCGGCAGTGCTGATGAAGCCACTGCTGACTAGCTTAGAACCGACCTGACGACAGGCCCGAATAAACGGCTTGACAACAGCCGACTATAAAAACAAATGGAAAGAAGGCAGGGCGGGTCATTTTTAAGAAAACCACACGAGTGTACGTATCTGTATCGAAACTTTAATAAAGATATTGATTAAGATAACGGCGTATGGCCTTTCATAAACCGCGAGGTGTCATTACGGCAACGATCCCCAAGATTTCGTGCTCCGACCAAGTCGGCGGCACAACAACTGATGGCAGCGGTGGGATGCCATTGACTGCACTCGCGTGCGCAGAGAGGACCAAGGCCTGAAACCAAGAGAATCGAAGAAACCATTAATCAGTGATTGCAAGGAACCAAAGAGAACCCCGAGGCAACATTGAAATAAGTGGACAAAGACACCCGGTAGCAGCGGAGGACTAGAGACGGCACAACGATCTTCACGACGACGGCCCGACCAGCCCCGCCAGCAGACACTAGCAGCGCAACCGGAGACGGCACCGACTCACCGCGCGGAGATCAGCTCAACCCGAGACGGCACTGATCTACCGCACGACGAGCAGCCAAGCAGTCAGGACAGCGGACAACATGCAGCGTTTCATCGTAGCGTGAGTCCGCACTCATTCATACCTAAGCGCGAAAATGACATGCGAGTCATGTCACAAATTGCGTAACAAATAGCAGATATCCGCGAATATCCCAGGACGGACAACCTCGCGTAACGTTGACCCCCGGTAACTCGCCGTTACCGTTAAACACACGTACACTGAGCACCGAAGAAACTTCCGCGATACAATACGCCGCGGACGCCTTAAGACACATACGTGATATCTCGCGCCGCGTGCTTAACCTTACCCGATCGAGTAGCGATAGCGAGGCAAGCCCTCCAGCCAACGTTATAATCGGCCGAGAATTTCTGTTCGACCCCAGCGACTTCAGTTTACTCGCGCATAATACTCCAGACCCCGCGAATAGTATAGGTACGAGTAGACCCCGACACCCTCGACGTACGAACATAATTTTCGACACCCCGACGTCAAGACACCGACTTGATTTTAAACACGTTCGACGCACCTTGTCGAATGCCATGGCACACCCAATCGCCGGTACATCCAGAGATACCTTGCCAAACGCCATGACGCAACCAATCGCCAGTACGTCCAGCGCTATCGTGGCGGATCCGCCTAACACTGATATTGACGCCGAAATTCAACGCCTGCATCAATCGTTAGAAAACGCTCACGCGAGCCCGCTCAATAGCAGAAGGGTCACCTTCAACGAGTCCCCTAGGGAACGGGCCATGTTACACGAATTATTACAAGAAATACGCGAACTACGCATTAAAGTGAACGGACTAGAACGGGAAGAGCCCCCGCGGTCGGGAGAGCAACGACGAGACTCTCAAAGTTTCCACGAACACGCGCTAGATTTGACATACGGTAGATCAACGAGTGATATCCGAAATCAACGCGGATCGACAGTCGTTAAAGGAAGCGCGGGGCATGATACCCAAGATCGACGGTAATTCGGCGAACCGCGTTCGAGAATTCTTAAAGGCGAGCTCGTATGCAATGAAAAATATACATCCGGCCGACGAACACACATTATTAGAGGCCATATTATGCACCAAATTCGAGGGAAAGGCAATTATAGACTTTCACACAAGAACAATAGAAAATTACGAACAATTGAAACTCGAATTAGAACGCGAATATTTGTGCAAACGTAGTACGGCTCATCTACAAGTGGAGTTTAACTCACTCCGACAAAAACATTCAGAAAACGCGCAAGCTTTCGGTAGACGCGTAGAGGTCTTAGCCATGGAATTATAATATATGAAGCCATGGAAGACGGGAAAGCCCACACAGTAGAACAACAGCGAGCCATTCTAGAGAGCATAAAGGAACAAGCGCTCTGCAACTTCCAAATAGGCCTGCTCGAAGAGATCAGAGTGCTAGTACGATCGCAGCATTACAGCACATTGCAAGAAGCGATTGCCGGCGCTAGCGCCGAGGAAAAAATAAAAGGCCCAAACGCCCGGCAGAGCTCGTACCGACGTCCTAGCGAAAATAGTACCGCCAAATACCCCGCCGATCCTGGAATCATATGCCAGAAATGCGGAAAAAGAGGGCATTACGGACGTGACTGCCGAAGTAGCCGATACGCCAATAGACACCCCTTGCCTAAACCGGAGGGACGCCCGCGAGTCAACACAGTAGAAAAATATTGCAACTACTGCAAAAAGGCAGGGCATGCCCGCAGCGAGTGCTGGTCACTGCACGGACGGCCCGAGAAAAGAAACACGACCCGGCGCGATAGCGATAAAGGAAATAAAAACGTACGCGAACCGGGCACAGAGAAAAGAATACACACAAGCACAAAAGCGATAAAGAATACAGAGTCGCACAGTAGCGACGAAGAAGAAGAAGAGACGACGAAATCCAAGCGAAAGGCCGCCACTTATAAGATTGTTCATCTCGAACCTCACCGAAAGGCAGACGCTGGACTATATCTGATCGCACTACCCACACGAGAAGCTCAGAAGGGAAAAATAGAGTTCCTACTCGACACAGGTGCAACCGTCTCCTTAGTAAAATTAAAGGTACTAAAGGATGACGCAGAGATCTACGAGGAACGAACGAAACTTCTCGGCATAACCGGACACTCGATTACTACTATCGGGAAGACATACTTGAGGATCAAGTTGTCTGACAGAGACACGAAACTCCCCGCATACGTGGTGAAGGATGATGTACCGATAGACTACGATGGAATCCTGGGAGTAAACTTCATCCGGAAAAACGGAGCCGTTTGCGACTATAACACGAGACAACTGTTGCGTACGTAAAATATAATAAAATCAGTCGTGCACGACATGCGCAATAACATCTCGCGAGCACGTTAAACACCCAAAAAAACTCGTCTAGAGGAACACAAAGAATCAGTGGACACCTTAGTGTCTCGCGGCAGCATCACAGGAGCGACGGCTTGACCG